TTTTAGCTACTCTTGTAAGGAGTACCATATCTTTAAGAATGGAAGGATTCAAAAACCCCACTCTTCGTCATTTACTATTGATTTTCTGTTGTTCTGCTAACCTCGGTGAAAATATTTCATATTCAGCGCGGTTGCTTAAGGGTGCGCTCACGAGATCTATCAGTCAGCCTGAATTTATGTTTCCACAAAGACGAAGTGTCAGAGTCTCTCCACACGTTCTGCCAGACCATGCTTCGGAGACTGCAGCAAACTCAGACCGTAGATTACAGTATAACGTGAAGGACAAAATTAGCTAATAAAAACAATTAAAGGCAAATGTGTAAAAACATTCCATTTATGTTGACCAATGACATTTATTTTTACTCTCTCTTGTTCTTCACACATGTTTTAACTTGAAATTTCATTTTGATCAGTTTATCAGCACAGTAAAGCTGATTTGAATTCTGATTCGGCTCCTCACATTCACTCCCTGCCAAAGGAAGATGCCTGATCTCCTATCTGCTTTTCTTTCTACGTCCAAGCTTGTATCTCTATGAGCTTCTGACTAGCAAATGTGCACAGAGGATGTTTATGGATAAAGACCCAAAAACAGAATGGGGGCAGAAGGTTATTAAGCATTAATCTGAAACATTAACCTTTTTTTTCTTCCTGTTTTAACACATACACAGAACCAAAATGAAGCAACAATAAACACATCTAAAATTTCAAGCTCCTGAGATAGCAAGTTAGCTGAAGTTGATTTGCGTGTTAGAAATACAATTGTTTGGTCAATGCATAAACAAATACAGGATAGAAAAACATATTTTGCAATTCATAAAATTCCACGTTACAGCATATTTCTTCGGAATATGTTCCAGAGATATTTGTGTATTTTAATCAGCGAAACCGGCAACATCACAAAAATAAACATAATACAATATGTACACACACTGCAGAAACAGGAATCCAGTAAAGCAGAAAACAATCTTTAGCAAAGATATTTTGTGACAATGATATCTTAATCTTGATAAGTACTGAATTGATGAGGAAAAATTACACACTGATATTTGCAGAACAATTTGACATCATTTGACTGATAATCCCAATGAAGCTTTTTACGTTTGCCTGAATTTGCTCAATTTTGTGAAATAGCCCAAAAGACCATTCTGGGGGTGCAGTTCCTGGCAATAGCAACATTTCTCTTACTGAGGGATACTAATTTGTTGTAGCTGATTGGTTGTGTTTACGTCCACCTACCTGCACTAAATCACATAAGAAAACATTTCCCATAGAATAAGAGGCACACGGACGCGCCGGAGAGCCTCCCGTGAGGCGGGAGAACATTCTGGCATGGAGGCCGGCGTGTCTTTTGTTGTGTTAAGCGGGACCCAGCGAGCCTCACCTCGCCCCTTGTAACTAGCCCGGAGGGACGTGGCAGCGTGCACCTAGCCTCAAACCAGCGGCCTGGCGGGAAAGAAAACCGCAGGTGTTGAAAAGAGGGCAGATTAGCGGCGCTCGACGGCAGCGGTCGCGTGCAAAGGTGTGACGCGGTTCAGTGCCTCCCCGCAGTCTGAAGGCCGCCGTTATTGGGTCCCTGTCAAGGCAGCAGAGATTACTGCAGCAACATGGTTCTGGATGAGCGGCCATATTCCACAAGGGGTCTTAACAGAAGATGCTTCATCCCACTTATAATAGAAAGACTTTCCTGTGCTGTGTCAGATATGGCCCATAATGCAATCAAAGTAATTTTAGCCAACTGTATCAATTATTGAAAACATTGCCTCTACGTGATAGATTTTAATGGATCCCACTTTACTTATTCATGAAACAAAATCAAATGAAGTCGCAATGAAGCAGCTGCAGCTTTGAAGGTGACTGTACTAATTTGCCTACAGTAATTAAAACCTTCCATTACTGCACTTAATGTCTTCACCCCTTGTTGGCCTTAAATGGCCTACTTGTTTGACCCACAGTATCCAGTAATTACCAACAGGCCAAAACTGCAAGGCGTTATTTTGAATTCAGGGGCTACAGGCATTTAAAATAGCATTGTACTAACATGAATACAAGCCACGTAGAGCAGGAGTCACTACAGCTGCCATGTTTGTCCATGATGTCTTTCCTAATGCCCTTGTATTTATTTGTCAGCCGGTTAATGGAAAGTAACTACTAATGTGTTAAATTCCACACATTTGTTAAAGATCTTCTGTTTTCCAGTTTGAATTATTATCACCACAAATAATATAGAGTGGTTTCCTCACCAGATATGCACGACTAATACATAATCACTTGTTTTGTAACAGGACCTATTTGTTCAAACTATATTGTTTTTTAAAAAAATCATCTCTGCAGTAAATGATGCTTGGAGACGCCAGGTGTGTGGTAATAGAAGGTAATAATAATAATTAAACATAAATACATTTATGAAAATGAATAATATTAGATGGAAATAGAATCCTAAGCAATGATTAAATCATTTTTTCCCTAACCTTCAGAAACGCTGATTTTTTTTTTTCCCTTTAAAATACATTTCATGTTTTCCAGGCGATTTCCAAACATTAGATGTAATTATTACTGAAAGATATAATTAACACAGTGTTTGAAATGTATATTTGTCCATAATAAACAAACAGGGAACAGTGTTTGGACATGAGTGAACAAGCCCTCTTTTGTCTGTGAGGGCATGTGGCTCTGCCAGGACATATTTCCGGGCCCCTGGAAATGGGCCGCAGCCTTGGACGTGGCTCGCGCTGCATGATGGGGTGGCTCGATCGCTCCAGCTAGGTCACAGCTGTGCTCTTTCCTGCTGAGCGATCTGCTAACCCTGGCCCACAGCGGACAGGGGGCCGAGGACGCAACATCGGGCGTCGAAAGCAAAACGAGAGACAAAAAACCGACGGCACGTTCTCCTCTCATTTTGGTTCTGGGGTTTTTCGTATTTAAATTGCGCTGGAGCTTAATTTGTAAAGGAAAAAAAAATCCTGAGGGGTTTTGATTGAAAAGGAGAAAATGTTCTCTCGTTTAAAAGATTTATAGGATTGCATGGTTACCGATAGTTAAGAGATACATAGCAACTAAACAGGATCCGTCTGTTATAAATGAATGTCATGTGACGTGTTTTCATGGGGATGGAGGAGATCAGGGTCACCGAGACGATGTTGGATCCCACATAATAATCTACGCTTTGAAAAAGTGCAAATTAGGAAAAATAGCTTTCATGCTAACTGGTTGTATCCTGGCATGAACCACATGCATTAAATGCAAAGTATCGAAAGCAATATTCTGCATTAAGCAATTTGATATTATTGGCCAAGAATACGAGCCACATTTCTGTCAGACTAAAAATACTTTTAAATACATACAGCAGACCTATTAAATACATAAACCAGACCTATACTATAGGAATTTAGAATTTTATTAAAACTTCATCTAGGCATAGTCCAGGGGGAATATTCAAGAGGAGAAGTACTCAGTACTGAGATGGAGGCATTATAACATGGCAAGAAAATTAACCCATGGAAATTAATTACTAGTTCTTTTTGCAATAAACCTGTACAAAATTGACACAGACAAGCCGCAACTCTGACTGAACAGCATTAAACAAAGCATGTTTTGTTATAATATGATAACAAAATTTATGGATGATCTGTCAGAAGTCATGTATGTATACTGCTTACAAACAAAACAATAAGTAGATAAATGAATGTCATTAATATCTAAGGTTAATGCATAATTGAAGGATTATCCTTGTAATAACTCCCCTTTGCTCCCTCCCAGCTCCCTCTCACAGTCCACATTTTTGCTCCCTCCCAGCTCCCTGTCAGACAGTCCAAGTTTTTGCTCCCCCCCAGCTCCCTGTCAGACAGTCCACATTTTTGCTCCCTCCCAGCTCCCTGCCAGACAGTCCACATATTTGCTCCCTCCCAGTTCCCTGTCAGACAGTCCACATTTTTGCTCCCTCCCAGCTCCCTGCCAGACAGTCCACATATTTGCTCCCTCTCAGCTCCCCAAAGACCGGACTGGGACACACTGGGCTACACACATCCCGCGATCTCCTCCAGGAAGACCCACAAACCTTGTCTTGAAGTAGGTCGAGAGACACAACACAAAACTACTATACTGCCGACGCTCAATTGATTTATTCCACAAAGCTGAAAGATGATTTAGGCTCCTAGAACACCACACATCAAGCAATCCAGAGCTTCCACCAGCCGCACCAAATTCAAGTTTTACTAAATCACTAAACAGACAAAAAAAGAAAAATCTCTGCTTACAGAACAGAAGGATTCGACTCAGTGACAATCTGTCATCGCTACAAAAACAGCTAGGCTTTCATTCACTGGATTCAAATCACTGCTTATAAAATATATAAATTGTTGCTCCACTGGGGAGAAAGTACTGAAGTACAGTAAACAACAGCATGTTTCTTGCATTACCCCTGACTTTCCATATATACACGCACAGAGAGCTTCGCATGCACAGTAAAAGTATTATCCTTACCGCAGCATAGGCACAGAAAAATAAACCTTTGATTCCTATAAAGCAGGAAAATACGCTGGCATTTTGAGTTGTCAATTCAGCTGCTAAGTTCAAACCGCTGTGACAGCTGATATATGGCTACCCCCCCCCGTCCCCCCTTTTTTCAGATCGTGTTCTTGCATTACGCTGCCGCCCTGGGGGTCTTTTCCATTTTTCTTTGCTCAGAATAAATCTATTCATGCTGGGTAATATAGCTGTCAAAAATAATTCTGTCAGCTTCTCACAATGCCTGTTACTGTCTTTGCGTATACTTAATTTCAGAAACCTGCAAACAACTAGTAAATAGCAAAATACACACATAAATAATGGGTTACCGTACTTATGTAACTGGCTAAATGCTAAGTACACAGTATGCAGTACAACCAGGTATTACTTTACACACTCAGAAAATGTTACTGGAAGTAACCTGGAGAATGAGTCAGAGAGCCAGATTAGCACGAGTCACACTGACACGTGATCGCTGGAGAGGGTTGACAGGGATCGCGACAGAAACGTGGCAGGCAGGAACGAGAAGAGACAAGCCGTCTCCATCGCTCAGCACGACGACCGGCCTGCTACGGCCCCCACTTCAGCATCCGACACGGCGAGACGGGGTATCACGGGGAACGACGGCGACGTGGTGCGTGTGAACACATGTGCCTGGTACAGCTGTCCGAAATACGAATGATATGAGATCTTAACATCACTAACATTACTGTGTAAATCTGCCTGTACTTGATACAGCACAGTGCTTTACGGTGTGGGGTATCACACGTCAATCATAATATACATCCATGAATTTTAAATCTGAGACTGTCAAACAGTCTAAAAAAAAAGATTTAGATTTGTTTGAATGAAATATATGAATTACGCATTAGCATTAGTTGTACAGAATTAGATTCCATTTTTCTTACTATTTTTTGTAAAATACTTTAAAGTCACATTTAATAAACAGACAAAACAAAAGAAAAACAAAGCGATATGAATCAATTTACATGTATTTATTGATATACATTTATTGCGGTGATCCATTTGTTGCAGACTGTCTGGCAGAACGAGCGTCTCCAAAAGTCTATCCCCAGGTAAGAGACTGCTTTCTGACTTTTTCTGCAGTAAATGCTGTAGAGATATAGGGACGCAGACATACATGCATCAAGTTCGATCGCACTTAACCACAATACGGTTAAACCATTAAAGACAGATCCGTCGTGTGATCGAAGCGCCTATTAAACGTTCGGCTAGCCAAAATAAAAATGCTTCAGCCGACACAAACATGCCCGTTCAAAGGCCACGCGCAGACGCGCATTAAGTGTGCACACGTAGGCATGAAGGGGAGATAAATATTTCCTGAAGCGCTGCTCCTTTGAGCGCCATTAGTAAGTCACGATCTCACCGCACTTCAGACACTCTAAACGCATCGGGAGTCGGCAAACTGCCCATTTCACGAATTCGTCCGGGGGCAGAAAGGTCAGGCGGGTGATTAAAGAGCATAGTGTCATTTTAACTGGATTACTCTGACGGCAAAACGTGCAGGTCAGAGGCCCCGATTGGCTCCCGCCTCCTTCCAGCGGGACGTGGTTGCAAAGCCCCCTTTGAAGCCTGCCCCCCCCGGGCCGACTGCGTCCTTTATCCCCTCCCGCACGCTCTGCTACGCCTCGCCCGTTATTAGGCACTGAAGATGAAATGGCACCTGCACAATTCATAATTCTTTCAAATACAGCGTTTCTCATAACACCATATATTTTTCCCCGCTCAATTACAGTTACTTATTACGAGCAATGAATCTAAATTTCTTTCACAGACGCATGAATGCGTTTTTGTGCAGCTGTTGAATGGAAGCGGGGGAAAACCTTGTTGGGGAAAAGCGAGCTTATCATCAGCTCTGCAGGGTAATATTTTCCCTTTTTATTCCCATGATTTCTCATGCAGGAGTGCTTCCCTTTATAGGAGCTTTTCTCATTACGCGACCCGAGCAGCATCCTGGAAGCATAAAGCGAACACGCTAAACTCGCGCGAAATGTTAAAAACCTTTCGGGAAACTTAAGAGTTCCTGCACCTGCCTTATCTATGAAAAGCCCGGTTGTCTCTCTCCGCATGTTTTCTCTAGGAGGCGTAAAGTGCATCGGGTTCCGCACATCTGAGCGCTCGGGTGCTCAAACTTAAGACACGTGACCAAAAAAAGCAAAAACTTCGCAAAATAAAATGTGAATTCAGCAGTCAGTTTATAAGGTATACCGGCTTGTTACAGCCTGCTGCTCCAAACAGCCAATCACGTGGCTGCCGCGGAATACATGTAGAATCACACAGACGGGGTCAAAAGGTTCACTTCCTGTGTGACTGAGCACTGGAGCAGCTAGGATGTGTGATCTAAGTGACTTTAAACGCGGTGTGATTATTGGTGCCAGACACGGTGATTCCAGCATCTCGGGAACAGTCACCCTTCTGGAATTTACACGCACTACTTGTTAACGAGAGAGGCCAGAGCAGGATGGTCAGACTCGTTAAAGCTAACAGAAAGGCCACAAGACCAAGAGAATGCAAGAGAATGGAACTTAGACACCAGTAAGGAGAAGTTGGTTATAAGTGGTGCTAGCTAGGTGTACCTAAAAGAGACCATGTCACTGTATGACAACAATTATATTAAAACACATAAATAATATCCGCGTCCTCCTTACGGTTTAACAATCCATATCTTATGTTTATGTCCAATTAGTATATGTTGAACAACACAGATTCATGCATGATGTCCGTAAAGTTTTTTGCAATTAGGAAAACAAAAAAAAGAAAAATTTTATATATAAGAAATTTTAGGATTGGGAAAAAACAACTGGGAATATTGCAACAGTTTGACAATATTTCCTATTGTACATTTTAATACTAATTACTGCTGTAGCGAAATAAGCTGTCGAAAACTGGGAGCTTGCTGATACATGTGATTAATGCAAGACTGCTCACCCTGGTGCATGCAGGATATGCACCTCCCACTAAGAAACTGATAACCTCAGAGCTCTGACAGTGGGGGGGGGGAGATGTGTCGATTGTGCTTTCCACATTTATCAGTTCAGTGGAGTGCAGCACTGCAGCCTGAACGGACCAGGGGGAGTACGCCCTGGGGTACGGTCTTCCCACTCCGCTTCTGGTGGGGGCCGTTTCTGAAGTACAACACTGCGAGTTAAACAATGTTCACCCAGGCGATCATCTGAACGTCTAATGCTAACCATACACTAGAAGACTCTGAAAAGACTAAAGTCTCACAACCTCTCACATCTGAAGACAGTGTGTCACAGAGTTGTTTTTTAGTCAGAGACTATGGTTTTGCATAGACTGGGGATCTCACAGCGTCACTGGTGCTGGAGAGAGTTCACCAATCGGTTATTGACCATGTCTGCATCACTATTTGCATGAGCCAAAATACTATGATAATATTAAACATGGTTGATTTTATTAGAACGCCAAGACGAGACATAGACTGATTTAAGACAGCGATCCTGACCACCTAACGCCAAACGATCGAGATGACAGAAGTGCGCCACAACTCAAGCAAAACTCTTGTGATTTTATTCCAACAATTTGTCCGCGATAGTGAAGTCGCTTGTAAAGTCATTTGGAGTCGGGCCGGCATTTTGTAATTAACTAGATTTCCCTCTAACTGTAAGCTTTGTCGCCGTAAGACCACAGATCCTTTCCCATTGCCAATTTCATTTTCTATATTTTTATTCCAGTTGTATTAACAATACCAATTAGTGATTTAATCGTCCAGAAACAGATATGTTCCAGTAGCTGCTTCACTTGAGGTTCTTAAAGGATAATATGTGTCAGCGGAACTATTCCATTAGGACTGATTTGCAAATTATCAAAATTAAATGATTATTCACAAAGGGTACATAAGCCAAAGCATTTGCCACCTCGCAAAAACAACCTCAAAACATGCTTTCTACAAAAATAAAAATTCAACCTTTGGTAGTCCAAGATGTTCCTGATAAGTTCTCCGATAAGCCTGGGTGTTCTGTTCATGTACATAGATCTCTGATTACAGACAACATCTCAGAGCTCAAGTAGGGGATATCAATACCCAGCCACAGAAGAACGGTAATGAGTAGAGATATAAATCTGATGACAGAATGCATTACTTCTTGGGGACCGAGAGACCAGCGGCGATTGAAGGCTATTTCTCTATCTCAAAATCATTTCTGTGAGTCAAAGTCGAAACACTTTTAGTGATTTTCCACAAACCACATGTGCTTTGAGGCTTTCAATGGAAATGCGTTAGATGTGCTGTATCGATACCAACCATCAGTTCGCCATAACGGCATACGGTGAGCTTTGTGAGCCTGGTGCTCTGGGCACTCTGGATGGGCTGCCAGGCCGTCACAGGGCACAGGCAGGGGTACCAATGCTATCAAACCACATCTCTGCTCCTTAGAACCAAGGGGGTCTGGACCCAGGCACTGTAACTTTAGGAGAAACATTAAGCATGCAGTGATCAACAATCAGGGAAAAAAATCACCTACAAATAATTTAATGCAAATAATTAAAAACTTATTAATAATTAGATATAATTATATCCATTAGAAGGAAAAAAAAAAACAAAACAAAAAAACTGATGTTTATGCAAGACAAATGATACTGATTACTCACTGCGATTTCATATCAACCAATCAACTGTATTTTTAGACGGTATATTTAATGTTACATCACAGGCAGCATTAGCCAAATCTCAACACACACCGTGAGGAAAAAGTGCATCAGAAGGCGAGCAGGCTGCGGAAAACTGGCCGGTCGATTTATATTCCGTACCCTGGTGTCAGGTCAGAAGGGTTAATTCGATTGTGCGTCTGCATGGTCATCTTGGACGTAGACGTACGGTATATGACTGAGTAAATAAGTGCTCTGTAGTCACACATCACTAATATATGGCTGGTTCAGTGAATATGCCCCCTACTGCCGAAAAATAATGCCCCCCTCCCACTAAGGTCCGCTGTCCATTAACCAATAAAATACAAGGAGCTCATGAGGCCCCACTGGCCTCTCAGTACCTGTCTGGTGAACTAGTTGTGCATGTGGTGTATAGTATAAATATTCTGATAGAAGAGGGGCGTTGCATAGTGCATAAACTCCTGCTCTCAGCATCACTAATATACGGCTGGTTCAGTGAAAATGGCCTCTAATCCTGCTGTAAAATAAAGGCCCCCCCCCCCACACACACACAGTCCATAAGCATCACTGATTCACCGAACTACATGTTCATGATCGGCAGGAATAGCAGCAGCCGTCGCACGTGAACACAGGAAGAATGGACAAAAAAAAAAAGCAAATTCCATGTACCCAGAGCTGGGGGCGGGGCTCACAGCCCAGGGGGTGTGGCTTATGCCACTCCCCGCCCAGCAGCAGCTGCCAACCCTAATCCTGCTCTTAAATCAAGGCCTATTGATCGGAAACGCTGCTTGTGAATGACTGCACCCCAAAGGGCATGCTGGAATTCTCTGCATTCCCTGCGAACGTGTCGGTTCGGAGGTTTAACGTTTATTATGAGCAAAAGCTGCCCAAATTCTACGTGACAAAAGTGAGCATGGGTTAGCAATTATAACGTGACACCGACGTTGTTTACATACCACGCATATATAATGGATAAGATTGGATTAAACGTCATCGCCATGCAGGTACGTCAATGAAATGCAGTCAGCATCGAACCAAAAGATTTTTTTTCCCCAAACAAGTGAAAGTATAAATTCTTTAAAATGAATTTTAAATAATGGTGTTATTTAAATGCACCGAAAGGGGGCCTCTGTATAGAGCAGGCTGGCAGCAGGGCTCTCACTAAGATTAATTTCCCGAAACAGATTATATGTGTTGCGGTGTAAAAGAGCAGATCCCCTCTTTCCCAGTCTATTCAGCATCCGTTTATCCAGCTCCTCGGCTCAGTGTAGGGTTCACTCTGTTTCAGCATGACACGTGTTAGATAGACTTGACAGATCGGCTTCTGATAAGTCGCAAGGCCCATAAAGAACCGGGACCCTAATCTGAAAATCCGAAGGGGAGAGATTAGGCTGGGGACTATTACTGCGGCGTCACTCTTACTTAC